ATATAAATACACAAACATACAGTATATATTTTGAAAATATTTACATGTATATACATTTATATATTTGTATTCTTAGATTTTATATTATATATAAATATATTTAATATATAAACATAACATATTTTTCTTAAATATGTACATGCATGTGTTTGTATTTATATATACATAATACATATACACAGTACACATACACATATTATGTAAACAACAACTTTTATTTGGATGCGATTAATCACGAAGTTTAACAACTGATGCGAACCACAATGAGATTTGAGTTCCCTTTCAAATTCAGAATCAGTATGAACGCAACAAGAATTGGTTTCTTGCTACTTAAGCAAAGTGTTGGGGGTAATGCATTACAAGTAATGCGAGTTATGTAGTCAGATTACTTTTTCAAGTAACTAGTAAAGTGCAGAGGCCTTGTGTGCGCTGTGTAAATATGATGATTGTGGCAGTTATAGACTAAATGTGAACGTGCATTTACTCATCTCACTTACACAAAAACAGATTCAGTATTCCACAAAATGAATAAAAATAGTGAAACGCAAACTCAAAATATGACGCAAACCTGCAATAATTGAATATGTCAAATAACACAAATATCCTTTATGTATTTAATCCCATTTATGTCTTTGCTGCCGACCTTCGATGATCCAATTCAACAATATTAATAAGCAAAAACGAATTTTTGGTGTGAAAAATTGGCGCCAAAAATACTTTTTTTTTTTTTTTTTATGTTCAAGCCCAACCCAGATAAGAAAAATGAATGAAAAGGTAATATAATACATTACTTTCCATAAAAAGTAAAACGGTACATTTTTAGGAAGTAAATCGATATTGTAATGTATTACTTTTAAAGTAACTTCCCCCAACACTGCTTAAGGAAGACACTACAGACAAAATTACTGTATTTTCATGCACTAGTCAGTATTGAGAGTTTGGGATATTTGGCATTTCATAACGTGTTGTTTCATACTAGTGGAAAGAAAACATCCAGAATACAGTTTTAAGTGTTTATTTTTTTGCACTTTGTTTTTGCACCTGTAGACTTCAATTACAATTCAATTAAAACCCCTTAACTGTCACCCCCCATTTTTTTAAAATAGGCATGCAGGTGCACTATCCAAACTTAAATTGTTGTAATTTATGAACACTTTGGAATACAGACATAAGGTTGGTCTCTTTTTAAAGAAGAAAATTGAAGGTTGAAAAGTGGAATGTTTTCAAAAAATGTAAGTATCACTTAAATTGTTGTCATTTATGATCACTTTGGAATACAGACATAAGGTTGGTCTCTTTTTAAAGAAGAAAATTGAAGGTTGAAAAGTGGAATGTTTTCAAAAAATGTAAGTATCAAAAAGTTATGGTAGTATATGCATTATATAAATATAAATGCACTATATTAATTTTATTTTATTTTATATATAATACATATTTTACATAACAGGTTTTATTCTAAAATTGGTATAAAATTAAACCCTTATGTCTAAATAAGTTATGTTCCAAATTTGAAGTTGATATGAAAAGAATTGAGGTTCCTGTGAGATTTTATTTTGGGGGGCGTTATACCACAAACACACAAATGTGTGTTTCTGTCACAAATGTTTAGATTTCTCTGTCAATATTACTTCTATCTCAAAATAAATCCTGAGATTCAGACCTATCCAATGATATATTTTCTGTCAAGATTATAAAAATGTTTGATTCTAAAAGACCGTAATGCATTTTGTAATATGACACTTGACACTGCCCACTAAGGGGGAGGAGACCGCCAAAAGATTTTAAAGTACAATTTCCATGGTAACGCAATGTCCGATTTCAAAATGGTTTTCACAGGATGAACCTTGGGCTTCTAAGCTTTCAAAAGATATATGATTTATGATGATTACTAAAAGATTTGATAGAGAAAAAGGACAACAACAAAAAAGAGCGCCAAGCGTCCCACAGGTGGGACGGTGACTAAGGGGTTAATTATTTTTTCCTCGCACGCGCTAAGCCAGAAATGTCCACTTCAGTATTCATTTTTCAGTTTTTATTTACCTAGTGCGTGTGGTACACTTAAAAGCTTAAGGAATACTGCTCTACCACTGCTACATATTCTATGGTGAATCTTCCTCATCCTTTTGATTTTATTGCAGTGGACAGTGATCCCCACTTCATCATTCACTTACCCAAAAGCAACATAGACATCTGCTTCAACATCGACTCCAAACCAGGACACATCCTCAACCTGATTTCAGATCCTGGAACAGGTAACTTGACGTCTTCCATCACTTGAAAAAACTGAAGTCCTTTATTTATTTCATATTCCATATGTGTTTTTTTCCTGTCCAGGAGTTACAATCAACAGTCAGTTGGTTGGGTCTAAGAAGATGAAGAACAACAAAATCCAAACATATTTCGGCACCATCTCCATATACTCTAAAACAGACAGTGTGCAGGTTATAGTAGGAACTGACAGAATCGACCTGATGGAAGGCAGGAACAATCACTCCTTCTCTTGGGGAGCCACAGTTGAGCTTGCACTTAACAGGTATCAAAAACAAACTTACTCCAACAAACATCACAAATATAGGAATCAGTGACTGCAGGCTAGTAAACTTTACAATATACTTGAACTGCAGACACAACTGTAGTTTTGTTAAGTGAAATTTGTTTTGTCCATCATATGGCCATCATTTTTTTAAGAGGTTAAGAGTATTTATAACATTTTACTTTCATAATCTGATGTATTTCCAAAATGAAATTGAATATTCAATAGAATATTTTTTATCCGTTTTATTCATTTAATTGGATCATGTGATATTATTGGCTATTATTAAAAACTGTTTTTTTTTTTTTTTTTTTACTTTTTGACGACATGCATAATAATACTGGGGACATTTATTATGGAAGCAATAATTCATGTTTTATTTAGGGATAGTTCACCCAAAAATGAAAAGTCTGTCATTAATTACTCACCCTCACGTTGTTCCAAACCAATAAGACCTTTATTCATCTTCAGAACACAAATTAAGATATTTTTGATGAAATCCGATTGCTTTCTGACCCTGCATAGACAGCAACGCAACTGAAACATTTTATGGCCCAGAAAGGTAGTAAGGACATCATTTAAACAGTCCACGTGACTTCAGTGGTTCAACCTTAGTTTATGAAGTTACGAGAATACTTTTTGTGTGCAAAGAAAACAAAAATAATTACTTTATTCAACAGTTTCTTCTCTTCAGTGTCAGAGTTCAACGCGCATTCACGAGAGTACCACGGCGCATGCGTGTGGTGCTGCCATTATCGCGGGAAGTAGGGGTGCTGAGGGTGCTGGGGGTCCGGTGTTAAAAATTAATTTATGAACAATTTATAACAAAAAATAAATAAAATTAATTTGAATATTAATTAAAATTCATTGGAAAAATGTAGCCTAAGCTGACAAGAAGCAACTGTTAAACATGAGTCAAGTTGAATCAAATTGACTGTGAAAGTCATTTCAACTTATTAAACTGACTTAAAAAATAATTTGTTGCCATGATTTTTTGATTATATTATTACCTGTAGTGTGCCGTACCCAAATTAAGAATGAATGACCATTTCTACTGACATAGCAAAGAGACAGCAGAGAAAGAGCGAGAGCGTTTAACTCGTCAGCAACAAATCTCGCATTCTCACATCTTTAGCGCTTATTTTGATCTTTAACGTTAGATCTTTCCTATTGTTGAAACAAAATTAATGCTTAAGGTTGATTCAGTATTACTCTTAATGAAAAAAAACACACACACAAAACATCAGCAATGCTACAATGTCAAAGTTGCTGACTCGCTTATATTAAAGGGGTCATATGATGCGATTTCAATTTTTCCTTTCTCTTTGGAGTGTTACAAGCTCTTGGTGCATAAAGAAGATCT